TGTGTCTGCGGGAGCCGCCCATCCGGAGGCGCGGAGGCACCCTGTGCGAGCTGCCAGGCTCACTTTGCCCCATCTGAGGAATGGGTGCTCTCCAAAGGTGTTGCCACCTAAACCCCGGGGAGGATCGCAGGGAGCGCTCCTGGAGGTCCGGAGACCTGCGGCCAGTCAGTAAGAGCTGCTCCCTGGGAGCCTGGAGCACGGAAGCCTTTTTCGGGATGGTCCAAAGTGCTGTCTCTGTTTGGGATGGAGGGGAGGGTGACCCAATTGGGATGCATGTGAAAAGAGACTAGGGGACCATTGCTTTCTTGGACTTTTTAATCGCGGTAACCCCCCTTCACTTGACCCGGTTATCCTGAAAGACTGCAAGGACGAGGTTGTTGTAATCTCCTGGATTTAGAAGTCCTTGAAGTGCCCCAAAGTTGCTCTCTGCTTGATCTCTGCCTCTGGGATTGACCCGCTTCCTCCCAGCCAAACAACACACACACACACACACACACACACACACACTCACTCACTCACTCACTCACTCACCCAGAGCCATCCATGTCTTCGCTTTTAAAGCCTGTTGCCTGTCCCTCGGGGCTGGGGCAAGACCTTCCTCACGCACACCCTGCCAGTCTTCCCGGACTTGGCTGCTGAACGGGGTGCTTTTCTCATTTGGGACTTTGAGTTCTCCCTCCTCACCCTCCCTCTCTGTCCCCTTCCCGGTTCCATAGCAAAGCCCAGAGTGAAACCGGACACTCTTGGAGGGTTGCAAACCTTAGAAGTGCTCCAACATCCATACCCTCGCAAAATGAGTCTGTGGCAATGCCTTTAATAAAACCGGGGGACCGAGGTAGGGTGGCGCTGGAGGAGAGAAGGAAAGTTTTGCCTCTTCTGGCTGGGAGATTCCCTTCCTGCACAAACAGCCTTGCCAGGTCCTGGGATGTCTTAAAGCCAGAGAAGGGGTTCCCCCTTCGCTGCAGCCAGGAACGTGGGGAAGCGTTTTGCGATCCCACCCCCTGACACACACTTTCTTAGAAGGGAAAGCTCTAAGCTCTTCGGCAGCTCTGCTCCTTTCTGTCTTGGCGTGGACTCCCTCCCGGGTAGCTCTGACTCTGTCTTGTTTACATGAAGCCCATTTCAGGGGACCCCAACTCAACTACTGTGCCAAGAATGTGCCCCTAAAGCTCCCATTCTCCTACTACCAAACCAAGAGCTAGAAAGTGATTTCTCCCCCCCCCCCACACACACACATCTGACGTCATCGGATGCTATTTTTTTCCTCCTTTTTCCCCAGGAAGGAGAGGGAAAGTGAGCTCATTCACTTTCAGCCCCCAAGCCCTCGTCACCCAGAGCGGGGTGTAATATAGGGTAGAGGAGAGACGTTATTCATAATGATGATGATGATGATGATGGTAATTCAGGACTCAGGTATGTTTACTTCTCTCTGGGAACATCGGAGAAGCGTAGAGCCTGCTGCTTGGAGAGGATTTTTAAAAGATGAGAGGATCTGTTTTTTCCCCGTGTTTTCCTGTCATAACCAGTGATTTGGAAGGCTTCCCTTCCAGAGGGGAGAGCCCAGGGTTATACAGGTATCATCACTGAAAAGGCAGTAAATGTATTTAAACATATATGTAACACCTGGGATTCCTCAGGAGCGTGCTTGCAATTGTAATTCAGACAAGGAGCCTCTATCCACACTCGTTCTCCTGTGCACTCCGTCACTCTCTCACACAAAGATTTGTGCAGTAAAATACTTTAATTGGATGGGGGACGCTAGGTTATTATTGCTTGTATAAAATGCCTGGTCCATTTTATGTGTGGAAATAACATTCCTCTCAAAAAGGAAAAAAAAAGGCACTGCTGTAGCGTATCACCAGAAAACCAGGAGCTTTTCTCCCGAGGATTCTGGTGGATTTTTTCCCCTCCCCTAGTTGAGTCGGAGCCAGATTTGGCGGTGTGTAAACACCTGGCCCTGAGCCAGAAAAGACTCATTCTGTGTATCCTCCACACGGAGAGACTGTCGGACGAAAAAGAACCTGCTTCTCCTTGAATTAAAAAGCAAACAAACAGAGGTTCTTTGCAGAAGCACTTTTCCAGCTTCTCCCTTCCTGTAAGTTTGGGCTGGGAGAGGCAGGGCCCAGGTGGGGCAGCGGGGATGCAGGTGTGGAGCCATCTCCTCCTGCTCCTGGAGACCTAGGGCCCAGTGTGCTGCCTGACCTCCGCTGGCTCCCTGAGGCTGGGCGTCGCCACTTTCCTAGGAATCCCTGGTCACCTATCTGGAGAGAGCAGGCATCTCTCAGCGGGACTGCGCTGCTATTTCAGGCAGAGGGTTGCTGCCTCGCTGTCAGGCCAGGCTGCCTTACATCATTCTTTTACTCTTTGCTGCAGGATTCGACTGGGTTTCGCAAAGGTCTAATTTTACGGTGCAGTTAACCGGGTCTGTCGTCTGGCAGAGGCAGGCCTTGCCGCTCCTGGTAGGCGGGCCATGCTCCCAGATCTGCCTGGGATGCTATTTCTGCCCCGGTTCCAACTTCACTGACACCAGTTCATACAGGCGCATGGAGAGGCAGAGGGAAGGAGCAGTTTGCTTCTGAAGCTCAGAAAACATGCCTTTTATTTTCCCAAAACGGAAGGAGAAAATATATATATATATGATAACAGATATATATATTAATTAATATAAAAGGAAAGGCTTGTGCCGGCAAAAACAAAGCTAAAGTTAGAAAGTGCAGGATTCTCCGAATGACCCCCGACAAGGGACGGACTTTAGGCTTGAGGAATTCTTTAAGGCTACTGGGATCAGGGTGCATGGAGGGGCCAGTTCTCTCTTTGGCTGAATAGGGAGGCAGAGATGGGAACAGAGGAAGGTTGTGTCCTGGATGACAGGTCTTCAGTGGCAGGAACTGGGATTTAATCCCAGGCATCCTGACTTCCCGGCCTCATCCCCTACACCATGGAGAGAACGTGTCTAATGAACACCATCACCTCTCACCCCTCACAGACCCACCACCCATACACAGCCTTCAGGCATGGTGATTGGGGCTGTCTTTCAAGTCCTGGGGTGGGAGTTTTCTGATGCATCCCTTTGTTTTTGTACCATACCAGGCAGGATCCAGACCCCTGCCCCTCATCCCCAATTGCCCCCCCCCCCCCGTCACCACCCCAGTGCCCTCCAGTTTGAAAGAGAAAGAAAATGAAAACAATGGGTTCAATTTGCTCCATTGAGCAGAGGCCCTGAGCAGCAGTTAATCTTGTTAAAGTTTCTCCTGACCTGTTAGATAAGTGAAATGTGGACCCCACAAGTGCTTCCCCTCCTCCCAGCCCACCCCATAGTGATCCAGAATCCCTGCTCAGAGGAGAAAGGGATTTACCTGAACCCCATCCAGCAATGCTGCCCCTGTCATGCTTTCTCCTTTCATTCTAAATGTTGGATTGAGTTTGCTGGCTACTCAGAAGTCTTTTTTGTCCCTCCCTTTTACAGTTCCCACTTCCTACTACCCACCCACCCCACTCCAAAAAAAAAATTCCTGCATTTTCCCAACTTGAGAAAGCTAGGTTCTAGGAGTCCGTACATTAATACTATTCTCCCTGGCATTTGTAGTCACGGGGTGTCTAGAATATTGCAATGGTTAGAAGGCCGTTTTAGTAGTCAGATTACCTAAGTGGGAATCCACCTCTGCCCCTAACTGGCTGGGTGACCTTGGGCAAACTAGTTGACTCCTCTGGGCTTCAGCTTCCTCATGTACAAAGTTAGGATAGTTTGAGTATCTGTCATTAAATGAGCTCATATGTGAAACGTGCTCAGAACAGGATCTGGTGTATAGTAAGTGCTCAATAAACTTTGTTCTTGTTATTCAACATGATTTTCCAAAGATCTCGGTCTTGGTTTTGTGGACTAAGGACACTTAAAGGCAGGAAGGAAACCAGCAGTTCCTGGGTGCCTTCAAGGTGCCAGGCGCCGTGCTAGGTGCTTGCTTTGTGCCTGCACGTTTCATTCTCACAACCACCCTGGGAGGTGGGCATTGTCGGCTCCCTTTTACCAAGGAGGAAACAGAGTCCCACAGGCCATCAGCTGGTCAGAGCATAGATGTGAACTTGAGTACCGAGTGCCTGTTTCCTCTTCAGCAGTCTTTTCTGGAGCGAGAGGGAATGACTGCTGTGTGTTCTCCTTCCTCTCTGCCTCTCTGCGTGCTGATCATCACCTACAGATTAAAGAGGATAAAGAATAAGCATACATCTCACCTGGAACCAGGGTTTGACCTAGCAGATCTGATTTTCATTTCAAGACAAATTATCAGACAGACTGGGCTTGGACTTTCTGTTGACAATTGGATGCTGTGTGAATTAAATCAAGTCACTTCATCTCTCCCTCCCTTGGTTTGCTCATCTGTGAAATGGGCATACTAAGATCGGGATATTGCAATAAAATAACGATGTAGAAAGTACCTGGCACAGTTCCAGCTCACATTAGGGACTCAGTCAACAGTAGCTGCATCTGGTCAATAACCACATTCTCTTTCCAGTTTGCTAGCTTGGTCTTCAGAAAATGGGGCCTGTTTGTGCCCGGGTAGGGCTCCTCCTTGTGAGTTGCTGGGGAGTCTGTCTAGAGTGGACAGTGTATCTTGAGGAAGAGTTAGACCCCCTCACATCCCTTCCTTGCACTTTGATTTCCTCTTCTGTGACCTACTTGGATGACCCCTTGGTGGAGAGAGCCAGAGGAGGTCCAGAAGCACTGGACCTGTAAGCAGGAAAAGCTGATAGCCTCCAGGGAAAGCCTGCACCCCCACGCACAGGAGCCAGACCGTGCTCACAGCGGAGTCCAGGTCACAGATCTACTGTCACATGCTTCTTGCTCCTTCCCCAGCTTCCACATTCCCCCAAGCAGCCATTCGCATGGACAGACGGGGGATGGAGGCTGCATCGCCCTGGCCCCTCTGTACAGAGGAAGGCATGCTTGAGGTGGGAGGTGTGGGGCTCAGGAGCGTGGGCTGTGCCTGGTCAGCCCGGGCACAGACTGGGTCAGACAGCTCATTGTGCAGCAGGGAAACTGAAGAACAGGTTCATACAGGAGCTAAGAGTTAAACTATGTTCATAAGCCACCTCCTCTTTAGTGGGCCAGGGAGATCCTTTGGTCCAATAGTTTCTGTCCCTGGCAGCACTTGGCGTCACCAGCTTTTACAACCTCCCAATGCCCAGGCTGCCTCCCAGGGTTTCTGATGTCAGGGCGTGGGGTTGGCCTGGGCACTGGTGGTTTTCAAAGTCTTCTCAGGTGGTGTGGAAGGACCTCAGTGGGGAGAACCACAGATTCAGTGTGATGCCTCCCTACTCTGCAGATGAGGAAACTGAGGCCCAAAGGGGAAGTAGTGTTTTCTGCTTATGGAGCTGGTTAGTGGCTGAACCTTTAGAGAAATCAGCTGTCCTGATTCTGAATTGCCAAGCACCAGGAAAGACCCTTCTTCTGGTCTTAGTTCCCCTGCTGATCCCAAACCCCTAGGTGTCCTGGCCCTGACATTACCTGTTTCCAGAGCGATTGCTGTGTGTGAAGCCATACCCTCCCCTTCTGGCGTTGCCTTTAAAGTGTGAACATGTGTGTATGGTGTAACACATTGAGTTTTATGCATCTGATTTTAAATGAATCTTCCCAAGTGCTTGGGAGGGGGGCCCCTCAGAACAGGACCAGGGGATATTAAAAAGGGAAGCTCAACACTGAGGCATTCCCACTTTGCCTGGGCTAGTCCTGCAGGAAGGGGTATGTTCCTGTTATTTCACCCTCCCCCCTCCCTCCCCTGCCCCACACACTCACACCTGTGATCACTGTGAAACCAGCACTAGCTGCAGGTCTCAGATGAGAAAGAGAGATCCCAGGTGCCCCAGGTAGGAGGACTCCCTCTACATGCAGCTGTGCCTTGTCTACCCGTGGCCAAGGGCTCAGAAATGCAGCAAATGACTTTTCTCCCCTCACCTGCCACACACTCCTTCCCTCATTTTCTTTGCCTCAGCATTCCCTTACCTTTCTTCTTGATGCTCTGCGGGCTTTGCCTCATACCCCGACAAACTTACCGAAAATACTGAGAGCTGACCTGTGGACTTTGGCCCCTTGGCTCCTTGGAAGATCTAAAACTGGGAGTTGGGAGCTCTGAGTTCATGTCCTGCCTTGGCCTCCTCTGAACTGTGTGACTTGGGGCCTCTGACTCAACCACTGGGGCCTCAGGGGAGAGGGATTCAGGTGTGGTTATACTCAGCATCCCTATTTCACGAGTTGCCACAGGAACCAGGTGAGGCATGATGGCAGAAGCTGTTGGCCAAGGTCAGAACCCAATCCACATGTCAGCAATAGTAGGAGGAGCCAGAGGTGGGAGAGGTGAGGGATTTGTGGACTCAAGGTCATTCCTGCACAGGTGCCTTTATTTCATTATCCACACTGCAAATGATAAACAGCATTAGCAAATCTTTTGTTACCTGTGACTTCACTGGAATCCTTTGATGTTGGGACTTCACAGGTCTGCCGAATCCTGCCATTTATTTACTGTGTGGTCTTGACAACTTAACTGCCCCTCTCTGGGCCTCAGTGATCTCAGAATGCACAACGAGGAGTAGGGGTATAATAGAGATTTTCAAATTGTGCCCACAATTTTATGAACCCCCTGTGAAGGTCTGTCTCTCCCACCTTCCCCACACCTTATTCTGCTTAAATTGTGGGAATTTCAAGATTCTATTTAAGGGAATGTGCAGGTTGCTTAGTTGCAGAATTTGAGTGGATATGGACTGACATTAGGAATGATTGTGGCTTTTATTGGGGGTGATAATGATAATGTTATATATTTTTAAAGATCCTAATCTGTTAGAAATGCCTGTTAAAGTATTTATGGATAAAACGATGCTACATTTGTTTGGTTTGTTTAAAATTTCCCAGAAAAAAATAAATAGGGTGTTGGGATGAGGGAGGGTGTAGATCAGTGATGGTGAACCTATGACACACATGTCAGAGGTGACACGCGAACTCATTTTTTTTGGTTGATTTTTCTTTGTTAAATGGCATTTAAATATATAAATATCAAAAATATAATATGGGTGTTGGGATGAGGGAGGGTGTAGATCAGTGATGGTGAA